GAAGCCAATAGAAGAAATGGACTCTAAGCTCAGTTTAGGCGTGCAGTACACAAAAGTTAAGATCTTTTGCCTAACAGGCAACGATGATGAGGGCACTGCGTTAGAGAATGCTAAGTTGCTCGACGATATAAAGCTTCAGGAAGAAGCTTCAGGGACGTCGTAAGATTGTCCGAATACTGAAAATAGCACAAATTAATCTTCAGCATTTGAAAGCCGCTTCGGACAATCCCGCTGTCTTTCTAGTAGAGGAGGATATCGATGTCAGAATTATGCAATGTTTCTGCTTTTTCAATATCGGTTTTAGCCCATGAGCTATTTATTTTGCGTGTAGGTGGTTGATAAGCATTCGGTCTGTTATTCATTTTGGCTTTCCAGAGGAAGTATTTTGTATCACATGCAGCACTTAGGTTTTGGAGATATAGGGTCGTGCAGTTATTGTTGTACTTTATAAGAAAAACTTTAACGAGTTTACATAATTTAATTAAGCGAGCGTTATACGCAGCGAATCTTTGATTAGGAATCTAATGTTAAATGGATATTCTCGCCTAACTCTTTTTGAAAACAGTAGAGTTGATTCTCAGGCAGACATTTGGACACATGAGTTGAAATGCTGTATTGGTTTAGTTACATCATATTCAGTTTTCAACCGGACTTCGGTATTTAGACAAATTGTAATTAGTTGACGGTAACTGTTTCAGTCAGTATCTTTGTTATGAAGAACACATTTTTCCATAATTTCACAAGAGTCATTGGGAGTGATTATTATTGGCGAGTGGTCAGATGACAAATCGAAATTGGAGTTACAAGTAGTTGTCTCGATACATACCCCTTTGATACTGCAAAATCAATCAAATCAGGTATTTTTCTAAGAAATAAATATTTTTTTAAATATTTTTTTAGAAATAAAAAATTGTTTTCACTTTGATGGAACACAGAATTAAGCGATATCAGGCGGGAAATGAGTAAACAGTTTAATGCAAGATATAAGAGTAATAGCAGGCAAAAGTACAAAAATTATCTTAATACTTATAAAAAAGTTGTCAGGGAGACCAAAAGTGATAGCTGAAAATAATTGTGTAGACGATCGGTACATGGACTGAAACTTTTGCTGAGACACTAAGATTATTATAAGATACTCATTTTCCAAACTGTTAAGATAATACAAGGGAAAATGGTTCAATCACTCTGGTAGGTCATCACAGGTGACTGAAACAATAGTCACAGCAGTAAATAATCAGGTATTCAATTAACAGCTTCTCTTCTTACAAATTACCATCATGTTGCGAAAATTGCAGGACTTAGTGATTCCATGGTTAGGGGAAATATGTAAATATGTCTTAAATATAGACATAGGGAAATATATGTCTTAAATATAGCTATGTACCACTGTAAGTATGGAAATTTGCATTAAATTTCTACCTAAATAAACATGAACTAAAGACAATAACAACACAAACTAAAACTAATCAATGAGTCAGCACAACTGTTGCGTATTTTCCGCAACGAAGACAAATTATGTTGTGTATACGTAAGCAGTAATCAGCTGCGCCAAACGTAATTATGTCAATGGTTTCCCTTAGTATCCATTCAACAAAAATAAATACGCACTTTTAATTTCCACACATCAATCTTTATTTATTATAAACTAAACTGCTGAAACTGCTGCTACCGCCGTTGTTGATGTGTCTGTTGCTGACTTATTTATTCTGTTGTGGGTCCTACTGTTGCTGCTGCTGTTGATGCTGTCGCTATTGATAATGTTGTTGTTGCTGTTGATGCTGGTGCAACCTGCGTGCTTGATGAGTATCGCCTTGATGTGATTCAACTTCACTTTTTACTCATATATTAATTATTACTTGTACTTGTAATTTCAACAATTCTTGATAATTTTACTCGATTACAGATATTCGGCAAAATGTTTTAAATACTAAACTGACCTTTTTTATTATTATTAAATATTCCTTCCTTCTTGACACCGGACAAGTTAAATTAAGGAATTAAATGTTCTTTCTTTAATAAATAAGTTCATTCTTGAACATCGAACAACCAGTTCGGACAACACTTTGATCACTTTAACACTCACCAAACTACTCGGTGTTCCGTCCGGGAACCCGAACTCAGCTGCTTTGGCAGCTACTACTCGAACACCAATCTAACAACCGACTGTTTCGAAACTTCCCACCCATGATTTCATCTTTGGAGAACAGTGAAAACATTAATCTTGTGCTTAATGCATGATCGCAAGTTTCCATTAATTTTCTGCCATTACGCGAAAAAAAAAATAATGATAACTACTACTATTACTACTACTACTACTAACTACTGACCTAGTTACTTGTTGGTAACTGCCAATATTTCGAAACACACAATTCTGCATAAACAATATTATTAAGTTCACTGATTGAACTTAATAATATTTTACAACTGCTAATAAAAAGGCAGTTTCGCATATTTTGAATAGTTGAGTTCAATGGTAGAACTCAATAATATTTTAAAATATACGCGTCCGTGTCGTATGCAGAAATTGTTAAAAATGAAATGGGTCGTATTAGCAATTTGCATTACGTACCAAGAAAACGGTTCGCAACAATTTGTTAATTAAAATTCTAGGGTATTTAGTTAAAACTAGATACACAACACAACACATTTTTTATAAAAACATCAAATCTTTTTAGATTTTTATATTTAAGTACCTAATATAACACTTACGGGTAACAAATATTGAAGATACCTGAAGTAAAGTTTATTTAATAAATTTTTACCATATATATTATAAACTACTTACCAAAACCCATCCCGTCTTGAAACTAATTGCAGTATGATCTGCAATTACTTTAAAATAAAATATAAAAATATAGTTAATTAAATGAATAATAAATTTACCATATTTGTGTACGAATTATATTTATATTTTTTCTTTTAATATTCATTAAATTATGATACAATAATTAAAAATTACAAATTTAGCACCGCACACCAAAGCACGTTGATAACAATCAAAACAAAACACAGAAACAACCAAACAAAAATTTGCAAAGTTTTCGCGGTAAAGTAAATCTAAGAGAAGATCAGAGAAAACGAAGTGCACAAGCTGGGTACCGCACGCAACATGAAACAGAAAATCAGCAGAACGGCAAAGAAAACAAGAATTGCGTGAGATCAGCTGTGAACAAAAATGATACGCCACGAAAAAGCTCAGTCGTTTGGGTATTTAAGATGCGCATTTTTGTATAGACGGTGACATGTATTCACTAAAGCACATACATCTGGAAAACACAAATTCGAATTAACACTGACGAATTAACACTAACGAAGGAATAACTTATATTTAAAATTATATCATTGCGATTGGCTGTAGTACGTCTACTGCAAGTGAAATACTTTTTTTTTAAGTAAAACACGAAGAAATGTTTCCATATCAGAATATATTCAAACGAAGGAATAAATTACATTTAAAACTATTGTACCTATTCTGAATCGCATGGGAATGGGAGTTTTTTCCTTTTCCTAATTTTGCTATTCTGAATAATATGGGAATGGGATTTTCGTTCCCTATTCCCAATATTGCTATTCTGAGTCGTATGTGACTGGAAGTTTTTTCACAATTTTGCACAAATTCTTTCAGAAGCAAATTGTTTGATAGAAAAGTTAAAAAAGCATTAAAAATAGTTTAATTCAATATAAAAGTGACTTATAATGATCAGATTTTTGAATATATTTTAATAAAATTATTATTCAGCCCTATTCTGCATCGCATGGAAATGGGAGTTTGCCAAGTTTGTTCCCAAGTTCCTATTCCCAAGTTTGTTCCCTATTCCCAAGTTTGTTATTCTGATTAATTTGGGGATGGGAGTTTTGTTCCCTGTTTCCAATTTTGCTATTCTGAATTGCATGGGAATGGCAGTTTTTTCCCAATTTTGCACAAATTCTTTTCCAAGCAAATTGTTTGGGAGACAAATTAAAAAAGTATTAAAAATAGTTTAATTTAATATGAAAGGAACTGAAAATGATCAGATTTTTGAATACATTTTAATAAAATTATTATTATAATAAAATTATTATAATAAATTTAATATTTTGTTTTATTTATTTATTTTATCCACAAGTGTTGATTAGTTTTTTTAATAAAATTTATTTTATTTTAATAAAATTATATATGAATTTTAATAAAATTATTATTATTATATTCTCATATATAATAACATATACTTTATTGATTAAAGTTATATCATAATTTACAAGTTAATATTAATAATAATAATGATTACGCCACGGCACGCTTACTCCGTTTAGCACAACGACGACAACAAGGCATTTTGTATTTTTTCCTTCTTTTTCTATTTCTTTATACAGGGTTGCCGTGATCGAATATACTACAGTTCCTCCCCCATCAAATAGTCCCGTAACCTTTTTGGCGGTTGCTTCTGCCGGTACGGTCGCGATTTTAATGTTTCATCTCTTTTATCTTCTTCTTCTAATGACCCCTCTACTTGACTATCTGGTAGGATATATTCATTTGATGAATGATCTGCACTTACTTGGTCGTCTTGCTCTTCCGGTTGTGCCACTGAAGTTACTGCTACTGGAGTTATATTGGATTCTAAACTTGTCGGTGTCTCCGAAACTCGCTTATGCAACTGGTCAATATGTCTCGACAATATGTTACTATTTGATTGAATTTTGTAGTTGCGATCTCCTGTTGATTGTATAATCCCTGGCATCCACTTTTCACCTCTTCCAAAATTTCGGTACCAAACATTTCACCACACTGGAAACTGCGAACTGGTTTTATTTGTTTGGAATACTCATCAGAATTTAGCTGCTTCTGAGTGTTGTCATCACTGGGGTGCAAAAGATCTAACAATGTTTTCAACTTCCTTCCCATCAAGATTTCTGCTGGACTCGAATTTGAATTTGCATTAGGAGTTGTACGCAGATGCAAAAGTATATTTGCCAAATTCTTATTGATGTCTGAAGACTGCATTTTCTTAAGGTGATTCTTAAAACCTTTCTGCTTGCCCGTTTGACGATGGATGATACGGTGCCGTACGTATGTGCTTTATACCGCTAAGTTTTAAATATTTCTCAAATTCTTCTGACACAAACGTTCGCCCATTATCGGACACAATGGTATCTGGTATTCCGTGTGTTGCAAATATTTCTCTCATTAACTCGATTGTTCTAATCGCATTTATTGTACTGGTTATTTTTACCTCTACCCACTTGCTATGAGCATCTACGACGATAAAAAAATTTGTACCCATAAAGGGTCCCGCATAATCAATATGTAACCGGGACCATGGCCTTAGCGTTGCTGGCCATGGTTTACCTGCCGCTACTGAAGGATTCTTTTTGTTACATGCACACTTTTCACAACGTCTGGCTAACATTTCTATATTTTCATCTAAACCAGGCCACCAAAAATAGCTTCGCGCAACTGCTTTCATTGCCGACATGCCTTCGTGCAACATCTTAAGTATTCTGGGACGTAGCATTGCTGGTATTATTACCCTGGCTCCCCATAACAAACATTGTGCATTCACTGATAGTTCCTGGATTTTATTCACAAACGGTTTAAACTGGATTAATTTATATGGCAAAACTGTATCTTTCCTTTGGATATGCCACATTACTTTTGATAGTACTGGATCTCTTCTGGTTGCTTGTGCAATGTCTTTCGCAGTGATTAAAAACTGTTCCTCAGCCTCATTGCAATATAATATTTCAGGTATTTCCGGTATTTGTAGCTTTACATCATTTAAAGGTAACCGGCTCAATGCATCTGCATTCTGGTGATGTTTCCCTTCTCGGAATTTAATCTCGTACTGGTAAGCGCCTAACTTTAACGACCACCTTAACATTCTGGGTGATATATGCTGTGATATTGGTTTTTCTGGGTTGAATAACCCCACTAGTGGTTTATGATCAGTCATTATTGTAAATTGTCTACCACTTAAAAATTGATGAAACTTTTGCACACCAAACATAATCGCTAGCGCTTCTTTATCCAACTGTGAATAATTTCGTTCCGCGCCCTGTAATGTTCTGGAGCCAAAAGCAATCGGTGCTTCACTATCATCCGGCATCTTGTGTGCCAAAACCACGCCAACTCCATACGGTGATGCGTCTCCGCATAATATCAGTGGTAAGTCAGCCGATAATGCACCAACAGATTTTTTGATTGTAGTAGTTTCTTTGCTCGTTCAAAACTTAGTTTCTGTTCTCTACCCCATTTAAAAGGTATCTCTTTTCTTAATAGTTGATACAGCGGTTCCAATAAATCGCCTTTATTCTGTAAAAATCTATCATAAAATGTAATTAACCCAAGAAAAGCTTGTAGCTGTTGTTTATTTATTGGTTCTGGTGCTTGAGCTATTGCCTTCACCTTTTTGTCAGTTGGACGCACTCCTTCTCGGCTTATCTTAAACCCCAAAAATGTTATCTCTTGTACTGCGAAAACACATTTTGATTTTTTAAGCTTCAATCCTGCATCCTGTACACATTTCAGAGCAGTTTGTGTTCTATTCCACAACTCTTCCAAAGTTGTTTCGCCAATTAGAATGTCGTCTAAATAAATAATCACACCATCTATGTTCTTAGGAATTCCCTCCATTACACGCTGAAAAATATCTGGTGCTGTTGAAATTCTAAACGGTAATCTTGTAACTTCAAAAAGTCCGCGATGTGTGTTTAGTGTAAGTATCCTTGCTGATTCTTGGTCAATCTTCACTTGTGTATTTTAATAAAAGTATTAATACAAATGTAATATAATTAAATTATTTAAATTATTATTTATTTTATTCACTAGGGTTTTTTTCACAAATTAAAGCATTAACTATTGTTATTTAAAACAATAGATAATGAAAGAAAGCCAAATTCTGAAA